TGACTTTTGCTTCCTTTCCAATTATGAATCTAGCATCTCATGGCTTTTGTGAACATTTCATCAAATGAAATGCTTAGTATTATATATTCCAAAAGCCCTGGAAAGGCTTTGGCAACAAAAACGTTTCTGATCTTCACAACTGACCCAAATGCCTCACCTTTGGTTTGTGGAAGTAAAGAGTGCTACTGGTTGGCTATTTTGGGCTGGAGAATACTACCTGTAGAGATGGAAGGTCTGTATCTGTTGAAATTACACTTGATTGCTTATTTGTTCATTTGAGCTGAATAGCTTTTCGTCTTGAAATCAAGGGGCTAACAGTGGCCCCCAGAAAATATCAGTGAACAAACTTGTGTGCATATTTGTGTGGATAGGGTTGAATTGGAACTGCTTGTTTGTGTGTCATAGGGCTAGGCCATCTTCATTGCTTCCACGGAGTTCTGAGTTGCTGTGCTCTACAGTATAGCAAGAATACCTAGCTCTCATAGTACTTTTAATCAGCACATCTCAAAGTGCTTCACAAAGAGAGGTCGGTATCATTACCCCCATTTTACAGATGAGAAAACGGAGGTATGGAATGGCAAAGTGACTTGCCCAGGGTCACCTAGGAGACCAGTGACAGAGCCAGGAATAGATTCCAGGTCTCCTGAGTTACAATGCAGTTCTCTATCCATGCCACTTAGCATTGTCCTTCATTGGTATGGATTGGTACCAGCAGGATCATGGAGCATCAGCCTTACATAGCATGGGCTTGATCCTTCTTCTACTGAAGTAATTGAGATTCTTCCCCACTGATTTAATTGAGAATAGGATTGGGCCCCTTTAAACTATTTTCCAGAGTTATATTTGTGAAAAAGATATTGGTTGTCTGGTGGCCTGGCAAGAACAATCAGCTCAAAGTTTGCCTGGTATCAAAATAAACTGATATCAGTTCTTCAGAATAATGAAACATTTAAATACCTTTGGAAAAGCTTTTGTTTCATATGTATTAAAGTTGTGACACAGGCTTTCAGGCTGCTGGAGCTTTCTTGTTCCATGAAACAGATTTTGTAAGACACGTGGCTGACAGTTCTTGCTAAGCATGAAATATTAGGGATGAGATGAAAGAGTGGCAGAAGGCTCTAATGAAAAATAGAAACAGAAACCAAATTGAGGCCAACATTTATGTATCAAATTTATGTTGCCAAAGGCACAGACATGGGAAGGCATCTGGCTAACAAAATAATTGGAACTTTAGGGCAAGCCGCATTTTAGGGCTCACCACCACCCATTTGAAAAGGATCTATATCTTTTAGTCCTTAACACAGGCTGTTAACTTTTTATCTTAAAAAAATAAAGCGTTTCCAATTATTCAGTTTGCTGTTTCTGTTATTTTGTGGGGCAAGGTGAATGTCTTCAGATAGAAGCCAGTCATCTCAGCTGTAAGACATTTAGGAAAGGTCTTCTAGGCCTGGTTTATACTAGACTAGGAAGGTGGGCTTAAGGTACATACCTCCAGCTATGCAAAATGTGTAGCTGGAGTCGGCTTACCTTAAACCAAGTGTTGGTGGCATCCTCACAGCGGGAGGCTGACGGGAGAAATGCTCCTGTCAAC